CCGGGGTTGTGGTGGACGCCTGTAGTCCCAGCTACTTGGGAGGCTCAGGCAAGAGAATCGCTTAAGCTCAAGAGTTGGAGGTTGCTGTGAGCTGTGACACTGTGACTCTACCTAGGGTGACATACTGAGACTGTCTCAAAAAAAAAAGAAAAAAGAAAGAATAAAAGAATAGTAGAAACAAGTAAGATATTTACCCAATTTTTGGTCAGTAAGTGACAGCAGTCATGGTGATGGTGGGTTCAACCAAGAAATGAAGGTCTACAAAGCAAAAATTGTCAGGAGCACCTCTGACCTCCAGGAGGGTCAAAACCAATAGGTAACCAAGGTTATTGCTGAGCAGTTTGCCACGTCACTCATTGTTGTGCATTTGTGTGATTGTTGTGCACTGGACACATTTTTGTTTTACAATCATTTGTATTCATTCATCCATCCATTTCCCAACTCACTTATTCCAGTTCAGAGTCATGGGTAGCTGGAGTCGCCCTTGGCAGCTCGGGGTGCCAAGTGGGCACCCACCCTGCTCCAGGCACTTCTCCACTGTAGAGAGCTCACTGACACTCACACGCGCACTGTGACTGTGTAGACAGGCCATTTCATAGGCACAGGATGCGGGAGGAATCCAGAGGACCTGGTAAAAACCCAGGGGAAGGGACTGCCAACTCCACATGGACGCTGACTCTGGTGACTGACAGAACTGATTCTTTTCTCATCAATAAGGGGGCAACGCTAGAAGGATACTGTGTTATTTAAGGATCGGTTGTACTTTAGAGGTAGGATGTGGGAGTTGAAAAAAACAGGAAGGAATCAATGGACCTCCGAGTTTCCTGGCTTCGGCAACTGGGAAAATGGTGGTGGTGCTGGCCTGGGCAGCTTGGCAGGGGACACTGCCTGGGTTTGTGCCTCCCGTCTCCAGAGTGCCTCTGGCCTCTCCCTTTGTGGTGCCTGCCCTTCCTCTGTTGAATTCTTATGGTACCTTCAAAAAGATGGAGAAAAGGGGCTCCACGCCTGTGGCTCAAGTGGCTAAGGCGCCAGCCACATACACCTAAAGT